AACATCGAGCTACAGATGCAGATTGGCTCCTGGCTTTGGCCGCTTCTGTTGAAGCATCAGCTAAGATTGTTTCCCAGTGAGTCTGGCTGACATAACTTGGCTGCTTCCCTTTCTTTCTTTTCTGGCTGATGCGTCCGCAGATAGTCACTTGAGTCTGACGCTTCCATTTCAAGTAGATTTCTTCATGAAATTGTTCTTCCCAGTAGTATTGTTGCTACAAAAGAAGATAAGTGATTAGAAAAAAAAATATGGAATTAATAATGGGAATGAGAATGGAAGTTGATGACTTACGATGAATGAGTGCCACCAACTTGTTCTCCTCTCCGGTGGAACCATTGACCAGTTTCGCCAAGGCGCCCAGAAGTTTCCCTGCCATGTTGCTCTGATAAACTCATGGACTTCAGGATCAACTCCGATCCTGCAAATACAATACACATCAGATAATAACATGAAACAAAACCCATTTACTACAAGAGTATACCTAACACTAAGCTACTAAATTCTTTTTTTTTTAAAAAGAATTTTAAATTTATTCAACCAAAAAAACATCAGATAAGAACATAAAACAAAACCATTTACAACAAATGCAGCCAGAGATAAAGAGATTAAGACAAAAATTATAAAACCAGCAAGTTCATCCGATCAAACCAGCAAGATAATTAAAATTATAAAACCAGCAAGATAATTAAAATTATAAAACCAGAAACTCATCCAATCAGAAGACCAAAGCTACTAAGTTCATTAAGTACGTTAGTTCACTTACCACAATGCTCCATTGATCTTGTCAGGATGGAGGTGTGGCTGGTTAATTCTTCCTGGCGCACGTAGCAGAGCCTCTTCTGTTCTCACCGCATATGCTGGTGGAGGAGGGGGAGGAGGAGCCGCAGATGAAGAGGAAGAGCCGGCCATTCCAGGACGTCTTGCTGGTTAAGAAGCAGCAGTCGCACAAGGAGGAAATGAAGCGGTTCTCAGTTGGGGTCTCACGTTTCTGACTTCTGCAAACAGAGAAACAGAAGAACAGGTTAAGATTGGAACATTGTTGAATCAAAAACCATAAAGGAAACGAAACCATAAAGGAACCAAAACCAAAACCCTAACTTGAAACTGAGATGAAAACCAAAAATCAAATCAAAACCGTAATAAGAATTGATATCAAACCCCAAAATCGAAAGAGATGGAGAGAAATCGAAACCCTACCTTCGAGATTCAACTTTGAGGCCCGAGGACGACGACGGTCGTTGGCTGCGTTTGCGGCAGAAGAAGCCATGTCAGAGAGAGATAAACGAGAGGGAGAGAGAGATAAACGAGAGGGAGAGAGAGCTAGAAGAGATGGAGAGATATCGCCGTTTGTTGTCTTTTTCAGGGAGAAAAGAGAGAGTTAAGAAAGACACGGGAGAGGGAGAGATTAGGTTTAGAAAATTTTAGAGCCTAAGTGTGGGAAATGGGCCAAAAGTTTAAGAGGGAACAAAATTCTGGGCTAAAAAATTTAGAGGGAATAATTTTTGGCCCAAATTTTAAAGTTTTAGGGGTTGATGAGGGTTTAGATAGGGTTATGATAGGGTTTAGATTTTTTAAAAATAGACATGATTTAAATAAGTTTATAGATATGTTTTATAAATAGGATTTACATTTTTTAAAGAAAAAGGGTTTATAGATAGCATTTAGATTTTCTTTTAAAAAATTAAGCTTTAGATAAATTTATATATAGGGATTAGATTGAGTTTAAAAAAAAGTTTAAATAAGTTTATAGATAGGGTTTTCATAAATAAAAAATTAACCTTTGAAAAATTATATTACACATTCATATATCTTACAAACATTAAGTACTTATATTATACATTCATATATCTTACAAACATTAAGTCCTTATATTATACATTCATATATCTTACAAACATTAAGTCCTTATATTATACATTCATATATCTTACAAAACATTAAGTACTTATATTATACATATGTCGTAAAAACACTAATTAAGAACTTAAATCAGATCCTGAATCAGAATCAGTACATGACGCTTCTAACTCATCTTCAGAAACATATTCGTCATTGGGAGGAACAACCGGCATCGAATCATAATCTGAATCATCTTCCACAACATAAGTTTCAAAGCGTAACATTTCACTCCGTGCAACAACTTGGTTGTGTGTATCATCTTGTAATGCAGTAAGAGCAACTTCAGAAGTATCTCGAACCCCTCTAGGCACAACATTCGTACACGCCCACCAATCGTTTGCTGATGTGCTTCGAACACGCGGATAAGGGATGAAACATACTTGATCACAATTACCAGATAAGATAAATGGATCATATTTGTCGTACTGCCACTGCGGAGACACATCGACGATTCCCGATTTATGTTTTCGAATCCCTCGACCAACAATTGTATCAAACCACTTACATTTGAAAACCATGGCTTTAAGCCCAACAGAACCAGAATACTCAACCATAATTATCTCCTCGATCAAGCCGTAATAGTCAGTGTCCGTTGTACCCCGGACTTGGACACCGTAATGTTGGGTTCTTTTNGTATCAAACCACTTACATTTGAAAACCATGGCTTTAAGCCCAACAGAACCAGAATACTCAACCATAATTATCTCCTCGATCAAGCCGTAATAGTCAGTGTCCGTTGTACCCCGGACTTGGACACCGTAATGTTGGGTTCTTTTATCTTGGCCATGGTTATGTGTGTGAAAGCAGTATCCTCGCGAGAAATAAATCGGCCTGGCTTTATAATTCCGTTTCGGGCCTTGTACGAAATCCAACATCCAAAAATCAAACCGATATATCTTACTCGCTTCGTTAACCTATTAATTCAAATTATCTCAATCATAAATTCACATCGAAAATCAAATTCTATCAAAACGTACTTACATAGCTTTTCACCCATTCCGCATAGTGGTTGTCTTTCGCTATTTGTAGATCATTACCACATATATTTGGATTGTTCTCCATCATAAACTCCTCAAACATCCTGTTCCGTAGTTGTTATTAAATGATTATAACTGACATTGTTAAAATGTAGCATATTAAAAATATTTAAAATACCTTTCGTACGGCTTAAATGCAGGACAATTGAGCATCAGAAACGTTTGCAACACAGTATAGTCATCATCGGTTAGATGCCTCTGCTCCATTTTTCCACTAACTCGACCTTCGTGGTAAAACATATTTGGAACATCTGGATCATGATATGTAAAACGAATATCTCCAGGTTGCAAAAAGGTAGCAGCCACTTCTGGATTTCCAAAATGATGTGCAGAAGCTCTAGAAATCTCCTCAGTAAGACATTGGGAAATAATGGAACCTGCAATATGTGCGTTATTTCTAACTTTTTTCTTCAGATGATACATGTATCGCTCGAAAGGATACATCCACCTATATTGCACTGGACCACCTAGAGCAGCTTCATCTGGCAAAGTCACAACGAGATGCTCCATAACATCAAAAAACGAAGGTGGGAAAATCTTTTCCAAATTACAAAGTTTCACCGCAATGTTTTCTTTTAAAATGGCAACATCTTCTTCCTTTAGTATTTTTGCAGAGATATCCCGAAAGAAAAGTGCGATCTCTACACAAAAAATTATGAGTTAGTGCATGCATATATAGTAAAACTTATAA